AAAAAAATATATATATATATATATATATATATATATATATATATACATACATACATATATACATACTTTTTTACATCGACATTCTCATTACTGCAATGTCAATGTTTTATTTTGAGATTAATAATTCGCATTTTGAATATTTTTTACCGTCATACTCTAATTTCTACTTTGTACTTCTACTGTATTGCAATATAAATAGTGTAATACAAGACATTCTTACTTGTAAATTGGCAAAAAATCAATACAATAAATTTAAGCATGATATTTCTCAATATAAAGGGATAGTTCACCCAAAAATGAAAATTGTCATCATTTACTGACCCTCATTATGTAGCAAACCTGTATGAGTTTCTTCTGTTCAACAGAGAAAAAAAAATTATATTTTGAAGAATGTTGATAACCAGTCAGTTGCTGGTAGCCATTCACTTCCAGTGTTTCTTACAGGGTTGGAATGACTTGAGGGTGAGTAAATGATGACAAAAATGTCATCTTTGGGTGAGCTATCCCTTTAAATATGGCACCTTTCTTTGCATTATGGTAATGAGAACTGGGTGGGAAATTAGCTCAGTGGTCACAGCAAAAAAATAAAAAAACACTTCAATCTTAATGGGACTAACAAAAGGTTTCATTTTCTTTGTCAAATCTAATTTATTTTGGGATGAAATATGACCTGGTCATGTTCTTGATAGATTTCATGAGATTCACTCCATTAGGTCACAGATTCATTAGGATTTGCGTTCCACAGGTTAATTTGCTCCTGTTTTGAATTATTAGATGCATCTGTAATTTATTTATATTAATTTCCGATTGGTAACTGGGTTGAGTTTTTAAATTAACTCTGGAAATGTTTTAATACTTCATCTGATAAAAATGTTTTAGTTCAGCCTTGTTTCAGAAGTTTTCATTGGAGAACTGAATCAAGTGCAATTTTAGAAGATGAGGGAAGTTTCTCGAAATCCACTGATGTTTTCCAGACCCATCATAAGTTTTTATTTGTATGTTTATTGTGATAAGTCATATCAGTCAGACCATCTCTCATTTAACGTGTGACTGTCGGGGAATGAGACAATTGACCGTTTTAAGGAAAATACTTTTTTCCTCTAAAAATGTATTGCCTCAAGGAAAAAAATGTATTGCAGCACAAGTTAAGTTCCATAAGTGCTTTTAGATCGGTCACTGTTTGTCTGCCTGTACGAGTCTGTGGGTCCAAGGGTTTGTGGTGGACACTTGGAAACAGCTAGTGAAAACAGCCTGTTTTTCACATCGCAACTGCATTTTTGGACAAACTGGATCATAGAGAGAGAAAATACTTGTGGTGAAACACAAATCTTTATATGCTACCTCTGGTTTTGACAATCTGGATGTTTCTGAATTAATTAATGTCGTTATATGTCGAGAAATTATCAGTGATTTTATTTACGCATCCTCCTAATGTTTCAGGAACATGTCCAGGTTGTATTTAAAAAAAAATATATATATTATTTTATATTTTGCATAAAGAAAATTAAGCTTTTTTTTGTATTGATTGACATTATTTTTATGAAAATTAAGCACATTTTGACCACAAATAATCATTACTGTATTACCAAAACATCTCATTCTCTTTCCTGTAATGTGAAAAAAAGTCACCATTTTTTTCATTGATTGATTTTCATTGATTATTTTTGACAATTAAGCACATTTTGATCACCTGTTCTTATTACTGTATTACCGAAACATCTGATTTTCTTTCCTTTAATGTGAAAAAATAATCTTACTTATAATGGTTTCTCACATATAGTCACGATGGTCCTACAATTATGTGTATATTTTCTTCATGGTTTGATTATTATTTTTACTACTACTACATTTGATTTAGGGGTGAATTATGACCTGGACATGAAATCAAAGACCTATATATATATATATATATATATATT